TCATCTAGAATTTGTTGTAACGGAGGCCCAGGCCGAGATATAACCTCGCCAAATTGTTGTACCGGACGCCTAGGCCAAATATTCGCCGTCTAACTACGCCTCATGTGAACCCACAAAGAGAGAACACAACAGGAAGTGTGCAGAAAGCGAAAGTCTTTGAGTGTTAGAGGTACAACAAATTTAGGGAAACAAACGTGTGTCAACGATGTCCCTTGGGCCAATCAGATTCTCTTCTGAAATATTTGCCGGTCCCATTGGCTGATGGCTCAGTGAATGACGGTAGTTTGAATTCTGAATTATCGATCGATTTACGGCTAGTGTACGTTAGCCCGTGTAGGCCGATCGATAGCCTGCTTGGAGTACGGCTAAAGCCGTTCTTTAGGCCGTCTTGACATATCCCCGCTTAAGACAGATCGTAAGATTTGAGTTGCGGGTTCACTTGTGACGAACCGTTCGCATTTTTTTCCGGCTTGGTCGCCTAGAGGCTGAAGTTCGTGCCTTTTTAGAACTGGGGTCCCTCGTGGAGAGGTTTAGGGAGTCGGCGGCAGTCGTGGGAGAAGAGGATGGGGGAGTAGTTGGGGCACCACGTCTTTTTCACGCGCCGCTGCGAGTTGACCGACCAGGTGTTTGATGGGTCTCGGACGCCGCTGGCGCTTTCTCTCCTGATTCCACCTTCTCCTTCTTCTCCTCCTTGTGTACCTCGGCAGGAAGTGGAATCGCCGACATCAGCTTTGTCGCCAGCTGATTCGATTTAGTGAGACTTGGCGAAGTTGAATGCACACCATTGCAAATGCGGTTAAGTGGCATATCCAGGAGACCGAGTTTCTCGATCCAATCAAGGCCATTTAAGCCGAGCTCCGGACGGTTGATTAGATAACATTTTCCACTGAATTGAGCGCCTTGAAAGGGAACGTCACATTCGAGCTCATCCGTGAGTTGGAGGAATCCGCCAGAAACGTCCATAGCCTTTCTGTCCGATGTGATCATCGGGAACCATTCAGTCATCGGCATACACATGGTTTTGCTGCATGTTAGACAGCGAGTTTTCCACGGGGCTACACATGGGCTTTTTGCATGAGAGTCAGCGGTTTTTCGACGGCACTACACAGAGTAGGGCTGCATGATAGACAGCGATTGATCCACGGTGCTACACATGGAATTGCTCCATGATAGTAAGCAATGGTGTTGTGGAGATGGCCAGAATGAGTTTGATTACTGCGTCGCCAAAATGTTGTAACCTGGCGATCTGATTATTAGGAGGGGTTTGACAGATTAGAATAATTCAATTGACAAAATTCTGAAAAAATTCACGGTCTCGGTGAGATTCGAACCCGGAACCTTTGGTCATTGAATGCAACACTCTGTCATTGCACCACGGGGCTCACCCAGAGCAGAAAAATGTCGCTTTGTGCCCCGGTGCCCGCGCGTAGGCAGCCACACAGCGACTTGCAAAATATGTTGAAGTGGTGTTATGGTGGAGTGTTGCAACGGTGACAAGACTTTAATCAGAATTGTTCTTCTTTCGACCATTGATTATTCATGGCTTCCATCATATTCCCGATCGCAACCGACAAAGTAACAATGCCGTGGTGCAATGGTAGAGTGGTTAACTCAATGATCAAAGATTCGGGGTTCGAATATGGGGTTTTCCACACCTCGAGTTGGGTCCGACTGGCTGATGACGGCTAATAAGCCAGAAACGGCCACTCCTGTCTTCCTTGTCGTAATGTATTGCTGCCTATTATATATGTCGGCCGTGGAGCGGCTGCTTGCGGGACTCTATAGCGAACCTCGAGGTACATCGGGACGGGAAGATACAGCAGTGCGATCGGTGAGTACCCCTCTACCATTTGTTAGGTTTAAGGGTGCAGTTGAGGTCTGAGCTAGTGAGAAGAAGAAGACTCGATCGTTGGGACAATACGTTTATTCGCCTGATGTTTCGACATCCG